GATATCGCAACCGTATCCAATTTCTTAGAGGGTACTTGAATTTGTTACGTTTAGTAGCTTATGTTTGTTTAAAGGAAATAAACTCGATGTTGTAACTGTTATATAATTTATTTTGACATATATAGTATACTAGTAGAGCCAGCGGCGTCGCTCGCGCTAAAACTACAAAAAAAAAAACAAAAAAAGGTAGGTTTCATACAAAGTTTGTGTTTAAGAGAGTGCACTTTTTATTTCTTAAGATGTATAAGAATACCTTTATCTTATATTGATACATATTAGAATACATGCTATCTTGGAAAATACATGAGCCGAAGCCGTCGGCAGTCAGTCAGGTCATTTATTTATTTATGTTTGTCTTCTATTCGTTTTTAAACCATACTTCTGATTGTGATGAAACTTTGGGAAGTTTTTCTGAACATGCCCGCGAAGTTTACTGACCCAAAAAAACAGAAGTTTGTTTGTATGTTTGTTCCTAAACCATTTATTACTAGAGATGCACACGAGCGAAGCAAAGTTAATTCACTAGTAATATATTTTTATCTTTTATATGTTCTTCTATAAGTACATATAATAAAATTTTAACTGAAACTAATCTGTACATTAAACATTTTAAGGAAAAATATTATTGTTACTATTAGCGATACAGAGTCCGAATCTATAGTTTTTAGAATTTTTGTCTGTCTATCTTGGAACGCATCATGAGAAAATCACTATACAGATTTTGATGAAATTTAGTCTGATGATAGCTGGTTATCCGGGTCAACAAAAAGGATACTTTTTACTGCGGAATAATATCTCATCTCTGAGAAATCTATACTAAAAGTCAAATAATTAATTATTAGTCAATTCTATCACAAAATTTCGAATTAAAAAAAAAATCGAATACCAACATCTCTTGACAATATATTTGGTCTAAAAAAGTGCAATTTTGAAACTAACTAACTTCAGGTACAAACATTTATTATTCACACAACGCTAAGTGCAAGTAATTTATGGGTCTGAAAAATTTCCGAGCGGAACGTTTGGATCGAAGGATCGGATAATGCAATAAAATGCAGACTGTTTGAATGAGAATAAGAACTTCGGCATCTATGTAAATATTATTTTGTAATTTTTAAAGCTTTTAAATTAATTAATTATTAAAAGTACGTTACGAGTATAACATAACATCCTTTTCTCGTAGTTTTTTGTTTTTTTTTTCTTTTAAAATTTATCAATTTTATTATGGCATAGTGATAAAATAATAATAAATAAATAAATATGTTAGGACATTAACACACAGCACATCTAGTTCCATGGTAAGCTACGAGGCCAGTGTTATGGATACCAGATAGTTAATACACTACACATAAATATAACTACACCTAAATACCCATGCTCATCACACAAATGAATGCCCCCAGCGGGACTCGAACCCGCGACCGCTGTCACAGCAAGTAGCGTTACTACAAACTGAGCCAAATGTGTCGTCAAACTAAATAAAATAATTTGTTCCAAGTATAATAGAAGTCAAATAAACAGTTTTAAGCATTTTTATCTGTCTGTATGTCCGTATCTAATTTAAGGTCTTGTGATTTCACTTAGTATATTATGTACCTATAGTATATTTATATTTTATTAATTTAATAAGAAGGGTCGTAACGTGATGAAGATACAGTAGATCTGTCTAATAGGTATGCCATTTTTTTTAATCTTTCTAGTACTTTTGTCATGCTTTTAAAAGTAGCATATTTTTATTTATTTATAATTATAAAGAAAGTAATTTGACTTCCTTCTAGCCATTGTATTTTTGTATTTTACTAAGATTTTATATTTATAATCTATACCGGAAATGAGTAGTCTTGTGAAGTTATCGCCAACAAATATAATGAGGTAAACTAATGATTAAAAAGTTGGACACTTCTTGTTGAGAAAACAAATTAAGGATAAGTTATAAATTAAATAATTTAAAGTGTTAACCGTATGGTAAATAATAATTGTAAATTAAAGAAATAAACTACGGAGGTGCTGTTTTATTAAGCTTCCAGAGCAATTTGCTTACAAATATACAAAAAAAAAAAACAAATAATCTCTTCCGCATTATAATTAAGTATATAATATACTAAAGATATAAAAAGGCAGTGGTAGCCCAGTGGTGACGCGCTTGCTTCGGTAACCGAGTGAAGCGGGTTCAAACCCCGGGTCTCGCACCTCTGATATTTTCATGTGCGAATCATTTTCAACATGATTACCACTTGCCTTACGGTGAAGGAAAACATCGTGAGGAAACCTGCATGTCTGAGAGTACCTAGCAAGTTTTCGAAAGACATGTGAAGTCTGCCAACCCGCACTTGGCCAGCGTGGTGGACTATGGCCTGATCCCCCCTCATATTGAAGGGAGGCCCGTGCTCAGCAGTGGGACGTTAAGAAGGGCTGAATACATACTAAAGATATGTACATACACATTACAAGCGTGAGCAAAGCTGCGAGTATATAATATCTTGTATCAAGTATAATATCTAATATAACTTCTTTCCCAAATTGCCTTTGTTACTGACTAAACAGCGAGAAATCTCGGTGTAAAATTACAAGTCCCTACAAATACGGTTGATTATTATGGAAAATCCTATATACGACCGTATATCTTGAGAGCCCAATGCTCTCGGAATATCACTAAGTTCTTAGTACGGGAGATATGCCTTTGAACATGTGTTTGATCCTTAGAATCCACATCTTATGTTTATAGTTAATTGACTAATAAATCACATAAATAGTTTCCTATGAAATCAATTATTGAAGATTTTATTCATCCAAGATTCTTTATCCATGTAAAAATTTGGTAGTACATTTGTTTGTTTTGGGTTTTACAAAAGTAAGGAGTAGAAAAATTGAAGAAAATTAGAGAATTACGTATTCTATTAAAATGTTTTAAGTTTTCATTTAAATAATCGCAAAATATAACAATAATTTTGTAAGCAACAAAAAGGCTAAAGCTGTAGAAGTATTAAAATATAATACTTTGTACAGGCAAATTATTGTTTGTTAGAAAGTACATAAAGTTAAATTCGCTGAAAAGATTTAAAAATTCTCAATGGCAATAAAGAAAAATAAAAGTTCTTGTCGCCGTTTCGAAGGTCGGAATCGAGTCAATTGCCGCTTTGAGCCATTATAATACTTCTAAAGAAAAACAACTTTAAAAGGAGAAAGGCGAATCCTAATAATTTTTTAACACTACTAAATAATTTTAAAAGGGTGTATTTTAGAATTAAATAGTAGCTCGATTTCGCTTTATTATTTCACGAATCTGATTTTTATAACAATATACGAGTACAAGTATTAAATTGACTTTTTAAGAGTACCTACTAATATTGGTAAATGCTAAAAAATTATTTAGCCCTAGGAGATAGGAATTATTATTGATGATTATATTATTCTTTAACTATTTATTAATAAATACAATTCGTTTAATCTGACGACACGTTTAGTTTGTAGTGACCCTACTTGCTGTGCCAGCGGTCGCGGGTTCGAGTCCCGCTGGGGGCATTCATTTGTGTGATGAGTACGAATGTTTGTACTCCAGTCATGGGTGTTTAAATTTATTATATGTATGTATTTACAGTTATATATGTATAGTGTATTAACTACCTGGTATCCATAACACAAGGCCTCGTAGCTTACCGTGGAACTAGATGGTGCTGTGTGTTAATGTCCCAACATATATATCATATACCGTACAAAAAAATACAGCTGAAGTCAGTCGAAACTCTATGATATATGTACAGTAGGCTATTGCGTGTTAGTAATCCTTTTTTCTATGTAAAAATCTTTTTTTTTTTTGGTAAATGAACTAAATATAAAGGGCTGAATTTTATTTTATTTGAAAATCCGTCCAAAAGTTTTTGCGTGTAAGAGTAGAAAAAACCATCCATAAATCTATCCTTACAAACTTTCGTGCTTATAATATTATTAGGATTATTATAATTAAGTAAGAACTCACCTCAAAAACCTGTTTTAATAACTATTAAGACATATGCATGAAAATTTAGCATTTACGTGAGTTTCTGGACAATATCCAAAACAGAGTCGATACAGTGGTTTGACAGCCAAAAGATATGATAGACGCATACATTCAAATAAACAAACATATAAAACCTAAGTATATTATGTTTTTATACAATTTGCTGTAGAACCCTTGGTCCATGGAGTCAATGTGCTAAATACTTCTTAAAATACATAACACCTCGTCTTATCGCCTCTACTGGTGACAGGAGAGCTGGCTCACTTTTCACCTAAAGAATCGGCATTGCCATTCAGCGGGGGAATGCGGCTAGCAATCTTGCAACTATTCCACGCGGACATGACTTGTAAGTTGTAGAGTAATAATTAAGTGTATATTTGTTTTGTGTATATAATTAAGTATATTTGTAATGAAAAAAAAGTTAGTATATGTATATATAAAAAAGTTGTAAGCGTTTATGTTACGTGATATATAGGGTAAGGTTGCTTAAGTCGTAACCCCTAAGGAAATAATACTGTTAAATTCAGCACAATTGAAATAAAACAAAATCTTCTGCATGTATTGAATATTTATTTAGTTGCCTTTTAATCAACAAAAGAAAAAACTAGAAAATCTTTTATCAAAATAGATATTTTAACGTTTTTCAAAAATATACCTTCGGTACGATTAAGGCACCTAGTTGCCTAATTCGTACCACATATAGCTTAAGTCGTACTTAGAAAATATAGGTACTTTAATTAACACATAATAAACTATACAGAAATATACTTTATAACTAGAGATCACAATGAAAAACTAAATAATTACAAACAATTCAGTCTGAGATCAACTTAAAACATTTTTTTTGTTATTAATTAGAAAGTCAATCTAATAACTAAGTAACTAACACATAGAAAACAACATTATAATCGTTAAAATTAAGCAAACAAAAAGCTGTTAAAATTATAATCTCTTAAAAAACAAAGTAATGCTAAGTAGCAAAACATAGCTAAGAAGAAAACTATTGAGATTGAACACAAATGTCACATATAAATTTTTTTATTGTACTTTCCACTCCAGCGCATAGGTCATGTATCCAAGCTTTACATGTTAAACACTGGATCATGTTTTCTTCACGATCTTCTTGACACAATTGGCATAACCACGATTCTTTATTTTTAATTTTTTTGTTCTTCTTGCAGGTTTCATCTGTATTCCTTCTTTTAGGAGTTTTATTTATTACTTTTTCTGTTCTATTTTTTGTTAAATTTAGTACAGGCTTCTTATTTATGTTTTCCTTAGTTTCCATTTCATTTTTGTAGGGACTTGAAGTTAATTCCATTGTAGGCTTAGAACCTTTTTTCATTTTTTTAGTTACTGTTTTTATGCAAGGCACAGGAGATAAAATATTCAAGAAAGTCTTTATTTGTTGTTCATTAGTCATTTCATCAACTGTTAATATCTTATTATCATGTGATATATCTTGTAATATTGTAGAAGGTCCAGGTGGTGATAGGGATGATACTATTGGTGGAGATACAGCCGTCATTGGTATCGATGCAACTATTGGTGGCGTTAAAATCGGTGATATAATCCTAGCAGATGATTCCGTATTTGGTTCAGCAGGATCATTAGGTTTTTGATTTGATGGATTAGAGATGTATACAGAAGCTACGAAATCCTCTTCTTTAATGACATTTCTGTCACACGGCCACAACCCTGTTTCTTTAAAACCATTTAGTGCTATATCCATACGAACTGACCGAGGGTATGCTTTTCCAAGCAGCTCTGCGACATTCGCTTGTTTTATGATACTACCAGGATTTGAGCGAAGCCACGAAGAGGCGGCTTCATTGTAACAGCTTTTCAATGATTTAAAGAACGATCTATCCAAAGGTTGCAGGCGATGTGTCGTATGTGCAGGAAAAGACAGCATTACAATGCCATAGTCACGAGCTATCTGAATGGCTTCTAAATTTTTGGTATGGGTGCTATGACCATCTAGTAAAAGAAAAATTTGCTTTTGATCACTTTTTTCTAATCTTGTGCATTTAATAAAATGTTGAAGCCATTGAACAAAAAGTTCTGATGTTATCCATCCATTTTTGGAGCAACCAAATGCTGTGTTTGGAGGAGCTCCTTTTTTTAAGGCATCATTCAGTCTGCTACGCTTAAATATCAACATGGGTGGTATAAATTCGCCTGCTGCATTCATTGCACATATACCTGTTGTAGTTAGACCCCTTTCTCCACTTGTAATTGCACCCACTTGGTGTTTTCCCTTTTGAGCAATAACTTTGGAAGGTTTGTGAACGGTAGATAATGCAGTTTCGTCCACATTATATATTTGGTGTGCAGCAAACTTGTATTTATCCAGTATTTCTTCGTACTTATCAAAAAACTCATTAACACGCTCTTTATTAAATCCTTTAGTTCTGGCCATTGATGTTGGTTCTGGAACACGCAACGACAAAGTAGGATGGTCTTTCATAAACCTGTAATACCACTTTTTGCCTGCAATTTTCTTCTCCTTGTTAAAACGATGAGGTAGTTGAAATTTTTCAGCAAGCTCGAAGGCAAGTTTTCTAAATTCAGTGGCCGTTAATCCGAAGAAACAAGATTCTAAATTCATCAAATGCTGTGCTAATATCTCTTCCATTTAACGTGACATATCATTAGGTCTTCCAAATTTTGTTCTTTTATTCAAACCTTTCAAATGTCGTCGCAGAGTAGGCTTCGGTATATTAAATCTCCTACAAGCTTCATTAAATCCAATTTCTCCATTTCGATGTTTCTCTAAGGCTTCGTCCATATCATCCTGCTTCCAAGTATTGTACCTTCTCTTTGGCATATTTAGATATAACCTGATAAAAAATTAAGTAAATTATATACTAAACAAATTTCTTAATACTTAAGTCGTACCAGTACGAGTAAGGGATTTTGTACAGGTACGACTTAAGCAGTGGTGTTTTCTAAATTTAAAAATAAAAGTAATTACATAACCTAAAAAAGTTCTAATGTTTGAGTATTCGAAACGATTACCAGATAAGTATCACAAACATACGTTAACAAAGAAAAAAGATAAGGATCTCATTCCTGCCATAAACAGTTTACAAATGAGTCAATAATTTTAATGAAAACTGTGCAAAAAACTTACTTTTTCAATATTTTTACTTCACGAAGCCGGCCGGTCGTCCACTTGTTTACGTTTGGTCGCTCGACTAAGTAGTTCAGATTAGCGACACTAGACAGCGCAATTTATAATTATCAGACAAGATATTACCGGGGTACGACTTAGGCCGTGGTACGACTTGAGCAACCTTACCCTAATTATAGTTCGCACAGGCCACAGGTGTGGATCGATGCGTCGCGTCGAGACCAAGCCGCCTGCCATTGACGCCGACACTGGTGGACAAATGATTGCCCAATTCCCATATCGTACCATATATTAAATCTATATTTCCACTTATAATATAAAGAAAAATTTATAAGTTTGGATTTAAGGCTTAACCTCTGAAGCTACTGATTCAGAATTGGAAAATTCATTCACACAGACAATACAACCTGTACTGTCTGTATTCATTCATTACTGTTACCTACAGTAGTATAGTGCCTACACTACCACCGAGAGCTATTTGTTATTTTATATTATTTTATTATTATTATTATTCAGCTTTTTTTAAAGTCCCACTGCTGGGCACGGGCCTCCCTTCAATACAAGGGCTGTCAGGCCATAGTCCACCACGCTGGCCAAGTGCGGGTTGGCGGACTTCACATGTCTTTCGAAAACTTGCTAGGTTCTGTCAGACATGCAGGTTTCCTCACGATGTTTTCCTTCACCGTAAGGCGTAAAGTAAGAGGTAATCATATTAGAAATGATTCGCACATGAAAATATCAAATTTGCGAGACCCGGGATTTGAACCCACTTCACTCGGTTTCCCAAGCGAGCACGTTACCACTGGGCTACCACTGCCTTATTTGTTATTTATTCCGATAAAAATGTGTAGTCAAATTAACAATAATGTTCCGTACATAATTAAAACACAATAAAGGAAATTACAAATAGGTAAACTTAGTCTATACATATAATAAAATTGTAACTGATTCGAATCTGTACAATAAATATACTTTTGAAAATATTTACTTTTATTTTAGAAAAAGAATTAGGGTTCCGCTCAAAAAAAATTATAACGTTAAAACTAGGGACGAACCCAAGCGAAGCGAGGGTGAGTCGCCTTTCGCTAGTTACATAGTAGTTAACTTAAATTCTTAAATATAAATAGTTAATTTTTCATGTTCCAATTGAAACAACGTAACCAATGAAATGAAAATTGATATTTTTTTTCAATAGGTTATAGGACTGTCTCTACAGGCAACAAACATCTGATGAAGCCAAAAACCATCCTCAAACGCCAAGATTAGTAATAAATATATATACATACATTTGTAATCACCATGAACTATTTCATCTAGCTTTTTCCTTGACAAAGCACAGTTAAGGGCTTACGATGTTATATACAATACAAAACGTTTATATTAAAAAGTACATAAATCTATTAAAAATCAATTTCCATTTGATGTAAATTAAAGAACAAAGGACCAACAGGAACTGATCTAAACCGACGAATTCATAAGTGCACGCATCGATCGGTGCAGACGCAGCCGGCAAATAAAACAAAACGCGCCCCGTAGTCTAGTCGCTAGACAACAAAGGGTGGGTGGCACCATCATTTCCTACCATCGAAATACACCATTCTCACCCCTATACTAAGGGTTTAAGGGTTGTTGTAATGTATTAAATAAAATGTTCCGTCCAGGAAGCGATGTGTTAAGCAAAGGTTAGGTTTAATTGCGTTTACAGATTTCACGGTGGTGGAATATGGAATATTCTAGAAATAATATTTACAAAATATATGACAACGGATACCATACAATTTGGAACCTACCTGAACTAGCTTAACAACCTGTGTTTCAGGTTATAGTTTTAATTGTAATAATAATAACTAAGATGAATCTAATTTGTTAAAAAAATGAAGAAAGATTTTTTAAAAGAAAATAAAAGATTATAAACATTATCTATTCAAAAGAAAATGTTAAGAATTTTTACCGTGAATCCAATAATAATGTATAGGTACATATTTAAATTCTATTGTAGATCCATAGGCAAAATAAGCTGTTATTGGAATAACATAATGAGGCAAAAGCTTATTAAAAAATATTATATTAAATTATTTTGTCATAGGCCGTAGCGTGATTCACAATATGGTTTCTACTCGTAGTTACTTTATACCCATATTATTTCTTTATTATACGTAAGCTTATAGTACTAATAAACATTATTATGTAGATTCAAATAAAAGATTCAATTCAGTTTGCGCTTGTAAGTCTTCTATACTTTTCTGGAAAATATGATTGAAATGAAAGGGAAAAGCAACTTTCAACTACATTATTAGTGTTCCATCATTGCGTGCTACGCTCGTATTTGATTATTATATTATGATTATAGTATTATATCATCTGTGGTAATTAAATAAAACATAATTACTGTCTATTATAATTATTTTTCGCTTTTAAATTATATGTTAATAGATATTTTAATTATGATTCAGCTTTGCACGAATGGCGCGGGGAGCTTGAACCCCTATTCCGTTCCCCATGCACGTGACTTTGTTGTCAAAGACATGTATTCACACGTTTCACTACGCCTACATACTCGTATATAGGATAAAATATTTCATACTAACGAAAAACAATAACAAATCTATCTCACGGGAACCGTACATTTTTCCGGGATAAACATTAGTATATGTGTTATTCTGATCTATGAGTTATATTATTGTAAAGTTTCATTAAAATCCATTCAGTAGTTTTTTCGTGAAAGAGTAACAAACTTCCATACGTCTATACATCCAGACATCCACACATCCTCACAAACTTTCGCATTTATAATATTAGTAGGATTATTTATCTACTATTCCAATGAGCCATGTCTGTTAAATTAATTAAATCATATTAAGCAAAAATGAAAAAAAAAATTACAAAGGCTCATTTTGCATTAGGTAGGTAATAGGTACATATATATTTTTTATACTTTTTTTTATTCTTTTATATAACTAGTTTTTCTACTCCACTCTCATGGTATGTGGGGTAGGGATAAAAGGTAGCGTATATCCGTTACCATGAAGCAATCTATATCCTTGTAGAATTATCGACATTTGTTCAGGATTGTGTGAAAAGGCGACAAACATACATTTACATTTATAATATCAGTATAGACATAAGCAAGGTTATTTAAAATTTAGTAGCAGTGAAAATAACTTAAAATGACCAAATCATTTAATAAAATTTCTCCTTTGTACTGTGCTTTCTGGCCACAGAATAAAGATAATAGAAATAAAATAATAAGAATAGTCAGGCTAGTTAGCTGAAACTTAGTGTGCCCTCTATCAACATAATCAATACTGAGTTGGAACGATAAAAAACAAACAGACAGTCTGAAGACAAATAGATGGAAACTTGGTTAAAACTGGTGGCGCCGCGTTGAAATATCAAGTTTTTCCATTATTCTCTACAGTTAATGCGATATGTCGCATCACTTTTATTTGGATTATAATGGTATTAGCTCGCTTTGGCTCGCTCTGGTGCATCTCTAAGTGCCAAACACGACATGTTCCTATATATTACCCAAGGTCATATTTGCATGCTAATTTTCATCCAAATCCGACCAGTCATTTCAGCGTAAAACACTAACAATAACAAACACACAGCATATAAACATTTATAATAGTACATTTATTGATAGATAGATAGATACTAGATAGATATTTTGAAGTGTGCAAATTACCGATCGTATCTTCCCTGGAATAATGCAAAAGAAAACTGCATGAAAACTCGAAAACACGCGTTTTTTCATATTAGACTAATCTAGATCAATTTATCGCTCCACCCAAAACACCCTGTATACTAAATTTCATGAAAATCGTTGGAGCCATTTCCGAGATTCAGATTATATACGAGTATACATATATACTCGTATATAATCTGAATATATATATATGTGAATATATATATACAAGAATTGTTCATTTAAAGATATAAGATAAAAAAAATCATAACACATTTTATTAAAATACGAATAGGCCGTACGATATATCGTAGAGTGTAAATAAAACTTCAGAATTGTAATATCATTGGAGAGCCCATCTTCTATTCCTTTGGTGTATCTTTTATTAAGTTTCTAATTAAAAATCTTGAAAGTCAATTAAACTTTGTCGGTCTTAGTCTCCTCGTCACGGATTGTGAAAGGATCACGAAATATTGAATTAATTGTATTTATTTATATTTTATAGGTATTGTTTTTACTGTACTCATTTACTGTACTCATTTTAAACAGTACCTCAACGTGTACATACGAAATTTTGGCTAATCTTCCTCTGGTCCAACATTATATATTAACTAGATTAACTTTGCTTGAAAGTTTGTCATTATATACGTTTTAGGAAGATGAAAACCAGTCTTATGATTACTAATTTTGTCTTTATAATACTAATTATTATTATTGAAAGCATACATGTAGTCAGTTTTTATTTTCAAATTAAATTTTTTTTTATAGAGTAGCGCCATCTATGGTTATGACATAGAACTACGTGCTCGAAAAAATGTTCATGTTGTAGCCTCTGTTTTACTCACACTAGTTTTACTTACAATCATGAATCAACGACTACTCAGTAGTCGTTGATTGAAATAAAAGGTATCTTTCTAAAACATTTTTATTACTAATTATATCTTCTTTCAACTACAACAATTACCCAATATTCACGATAACAACGTAAATCAAAAATAAAGCTGTATTTCAAGTACATTTTTTTATTAAAGAAAGCTTTTTGTTATTTGGGTTGGATCTGAATATCCGCAAACCATTCGTATATTGTCATTGGGTAAACTCTTGTAACGTTCTTCCATAATTTTACTCTGATATTGAAGTGGTTTGGGAGCTGGTGGAGGATAAAACCACGATTCACTAACGATATTCATTGCAATGGGAGTTGTCTTGAATATTACTTGGCATTGTGATATAAGAGATCCACCATTTGCTAAATAATTCATTTTATTTTCAAATCTTTTTAGTTATATTATTATAGAAGGCACTATTAATAAATGAAATTGTCAACTTGAAATAAAATTAAAAATAAACATGTTTTTACTTCAATTGTAATTAAAAAAAAAACAAATTAATATTTTATTAATTTGAAAAAATATTACAATTTATTCGTTACAAAATATCTAAATTAGATGATTGGGTTTTAAAGTAAGATATTTTAAAAGTATTTTGTGAAAATGGCAATACTTGACTTCGACTATCAATGAGAGTGAGACATTTCACATTATGAAATATTTTTTATCTGTTGGCTGGATTTGGAGCTTAGAAAGGAGATTTACTATCGGTTGAAATTTTGAAAAAGTTTTATTGTGTACTAAAAGTTTTGTGGAGCGAAATTAAGTATTACACGAATGTGAAATAAATTAAAATTATTCAAGATGTCGTTTTTTGGTACTCCTTCTAGTGCCCCAGCAACAACAGGTCTTTCGGGAGGGTTTAATTTTGGCGCTAATAAGTAAGTGAACAATATTTTTAAGCAATTACATTAATAAATACATTTAGTATGAAATCACATATATCAAAATTTATATGTATGTTAATTTACACTTATTTGCAAAAAATAAAAAAAAAATTGGATATATAACCTCTTTTTCCCGATTACACTTTTATCAATCTAGGAGTCAAAGAAAATAGTTTAAAAAGTAAACACGCTGTATTAATATTTAAATTCGAAGCCATTTTATAATAATAGTAATTTTAGATTAAGAGTTTTCTGTTTATTACAGTTAAATATAATAGTTGTTATTTAATTTGTTGTTTTAATTTATTCTAGACCTGCTGCTACAACAGGATTTGGTCTAGGTACTGCAACAACTCAAGCGTCTACAGGATTATTTGGTACACCAGCAACTTCAGCACCCGCTTTTGGTACTGGTACTCCTTCATTTGGTTCTACTTTTGGAGCTACCTCTAGTGCCCCTGCCTTTGGTGCCACAGCTACTCCGGCTTTTGGTGCTACATCAACAACACCTGCCTTTGGTGCCAATACATCTTTAACTTTTGGTACCGGTTCGACAGCTCCTGCTTTTGGAACTACAACTCCAGCGTTTGGTATGTTCAATATTCTAATAATATCTGTATTTATGGATAACAAAGTTTTTTTATTTATTTAAAACAACATACAAAGTTTTAATATAAATAGGCAAAAACTAAACAGTGCAAACATTTTCTTACTCTGTTTGTCTACCAATTTTCTTTTTTTTGATTGACAAGTAATGTCTGATTTCATTAATAGGATATATAGATTTCAATTTATGTAATTTGTCAAATAATTACCTAATAATAATGAGTACTGTTTGGTAAATGTACTTAATATAACATATTCAATTAATTCATTTTTGCATAGGAGCGACATCAACTGGTGCATTTGGAGCTGGTCTCGGAGGAGGCCTTAATTTTGGTACTGGAACCAGCACTGCTGCACCTACTGGTAATTTACTAATTATTTATTATTAGACAATAGCTCTTTTACCATATTTAATTATAATGTTTCTAAATCTTATTTCTAAATTCAGTAATACATATAAATCTATACATTCTAATATTATAAATCCGCAGACTATGTTCATTTGCTTGGCCTTATTTTTAAACAATAAGGCATTGACATGATTTTTTTTGAAAATAATGTATGGCATAGAGAGTGGCAAGTTATTTTTATCCTGTTACATTAGGTCGTGTCCATAAAATACTATTATTAGTTACTTGATGTTAAAAAAAAATTGCTAAGAATCACTATTCTCTAATTTAAAATAATTGTAACAAAATCAAGGATTTAGGTGAATATTTTTTAATAATTATGTACCTATATGAAATTTAAAATAGTCTTATTATTATTAAAGAAAAAGTCAAACTTAAAATTAACAAAGACAGAAATATGTGCAGACAGTATAAAAAAATTATTCCTTTTATAAAAACCAAATTGATCAACATAGAGTTCTTGATGACGGGATTGATTTTTTACGAGTAATTAAAACATATTGAGTATTTTGCATATTTTATGGCTACGTTTTTCATTTCAGGCTTATCATTTGGAACAACAACAACAACAACAACAAGTTCTGGTGGACTTGGTGGGCTCGGTGGATTTGGTTTTGGTACCACACAGTCTGGTTTGGGGTTGTTTGGTTCAACTGGTACTTCTACAACAACAAGTAGTGCTTTTGGTAAGTTAATCTTTTTTTTAGCTTTTTAAGTCTTAAAGGTGAAAAAGAATATGTATATACCTATTATTAACAAAAATCGAATAGAGATTTTTAATTTCAAGATACAACATTAAAATTTTGCTTTTGAGTTACAGTTTGACTTTGTATCATAAAGACCATTTTGTAGAATGTTGCCATTTAATAAAATGAATGATAGAAAATATATAATAAGAAGCGCCAGGCGAGATTGTTACCCATGTGTTATACCTAGTAAGTTTAAATAACTGAATTCTTTATGGAGTAAAATATACGAGTTTAGTAGTAGATTGTAGGGCAGAATATTAATTAGACAGTACATATTCTATTTTATAACATTTGGTAACAAATTAAAGTTTTTAAATTTATTAAAAAATTAGTGCAGTATTTTGTTTTTTTTGGATTTGTAATTGACAAAAGATTATTTTAATAAAAAATTGGAAAAATTGTCTCGAAAATTGGACAAATCGTCAAAAGCTGATTCTTTTTTCTTTTTGACTAATATTAGATTTAGTTTTTCATTAATAAGTAATGTCAGTAGTATTTTAATTTATATACTTTTTTCCATATTAATATGTAGGTGTTTAGTTTTTTTATTACAAAGTATTAATTTGAATATTATAATGATGTATGTATACATATCTGATCTTTTTTTGTTCAATGTCAAATTACAGCAATTATTACTTGATTTTCTAACATAATTTAAAAAAAAATGATTTTTTTTATATGAATATGATATTATTTTAATAACTTTTATTTTTCACTTAGTATTTATTTATTTAATAAGTTGCGCCATTTCAGGCAATGCATTAGGCACAACAAGTGTAACGGGTACTCTGCTATCAACTTCAGGTACTATAGAAGTGCACATAATAAGTATATGTTATACTAACCATCATCATCTCCCTGCCCATTTCCGGTTTTGGTTTAACAATTTCGATTTCGTTCTTTAATCGGTTAAAACCCGGAGAACAGTTTATGACAAATTTAGGTTCATTGATCGAAATTAATTGGTTAAAATGAGTTTTTGTGCCTTTACATAATATGGCGAATCTTTGCTAATGGTGAATTGCGTAGTAGAATTATACATGACGTATGTTTGGTACTTATGAATGAATTAACCGGTTTATTTCAATATCAAAACCTAAATGTAACCTTTCGCTAACAATAACCTTTAACCATTATTATTTCGGTTAAATAAACCGTTCGTTTTTATTAACCGGTTAATGAACGAGCGATGAACGAGCCCTGTCCATTTCCCAATTTCTTGGGGTCGTCGCAGTACATCTTATATATTGTTGATCGTTTTTGGCAAAAGTTTTCCGAACGGCCGCCTGCTTGATATCAACTCTCTTTGGGAATGCTCTTGTCTGTCCGTGCATATAGTCCTGAGATTTTTTATTTGACATATAACTTCAATATATGTATGTCATACTAACCATATAATGTAAAGTGAGCTTGGCAACTAAATTTATTTATTTTATTTATGTACAATAGAAATATATTTAACAAAATAAAGGTTAAACAAATTATTTAAGGGAATTTATATTTTGGGTAATGCTTTTTAAGAGTTTTTAATGATTTAAAAAGTAGGATTTTCCATTTCTTAAAACTATGTTATTGTTAATTATAATTTATGATTTTTTTATAATTTTATCTTTTCTATATAAAGTTCATAAACAAATAAATGAAATGGTAAGTAAGCAGATAACGTGAGGAGAACGGCCTTCAGGATTAACTTTACATATTTTTTTTAAAGTTTTCGATTGACTAAATAAGGTTTATAGGATTATATTTTGGATTTGTCTAGAAGATTGGAATGTTCGGGAAAAACTGAATGTGAAATGAGCTTTTTTCTATAGGATTTTTGTATGAACTCAAAGATCACAAAAAATTGAAATTAGGGCAGGATGATGTCTGACAGATGTCATTAGATTTCTAACTGATGTTTCATAATTGATTTTAATATTATTATTTTTTATACAGCTGCTCCTAGTTTGGGTTTAGGAGGCGTGTCTCAACCGGGAACAACTAACACTACTACAAGTGATGGAAAAAGTAGGTTTTATTTTAAAAATTTTTTTCTTTGTCATACAAAAGGTTTCAAATTGACCGACATGCTGTAATTTATTTGATGGCTTATGAAAATGAAATTATGTTGTTAAGTTTTATATATGTATATTATTTAATTTTCTGAGTCTTCTTTAAAATCATTTGGTCAAGTAGAATGAAAAGAATATAATAAAAAAAAACTGTTTAGAATTATATTATGATTCTATAATATTATAAATATTATAGATATAAAACTTAGATTATACCTAAATATATATTTTTTAATCTTCAGCCGAACCACCGAAACAAACAAAGCTTCCGAATGAAATATCGACAATGGTGGACTCTTTTAAGGAGTTTGTCAAGAAGCAGAAGTCACTGAGCTCTGACGTCATGAGGGTATCCATCAAGCCGCTACATAAAGTGAGAAGTATTATATTTTATAAAGGTAAAACCTTTGTGGCCTAGCTGCGCCAGCTAGTGTACTTCCCGTTAGGGTTATTCATTTGTGTGATGAGCACGAATGTTTGTACTCCAGTCATGGGTGTTTATATTTATAATATGTATGTATTTAAAGTTATATATAGAGATGTGATATTTTTTCCCGCAGTAAAAAGTATTCAAAATGTTTAACAGCAATCATGGTCGGGACGGGAGAGACTCTCCTGTGACTATGATTGCTGTTAAGCATTCGGAACGTCGGGAAACAAAAATCAAAATGAATTCGCGAAAAAATCCGAAAAGATAGTTTTATTTAAAGTATGGTCTACTTGATGACTATATATTTTTATGAATCATTGTGAATAAAATAAAAAGTGTTAAGATAATTCTGTTAAGTAAGTGGTTTTTGATTTTTATCGATAAAAAAATAACTCTGGTGTCCCACGACACTGTTGTATAATATATTTTTATTTGTGTATGTGCAGGTAGGTCGCGAGGCGGAGTCCACGCTGCGCGCGGTGCTGGCGCTGCGCGGCGAGTGCGGGCGCGCGCGCGCACACTCGCGCCGCCTGCGCGCCGCCGCCGCCGCCGCGCTCGCCGCCGCCGACGGCGCGGCCAGGGACCCGCCCGGTGTGTGTGTGTGACTACTCCTTCATACTGTATTATTGATTCCCTATACAAACTTTCATCCCCATTTTCACCCCCTTTAAGGGATGATTTCCGGGATAAAAAGTATCCTATGTCCTTCCCAGGGTCTCAAACTATCTTCTTACCAAATTTTGTTTAAATCGATTCAGTAGATCCAGAGATTACCCCTTATAACATCACAAACTTTACCTCTTTATAATATTAGTATAGATGGCAAGATGGATTTGAATGAAGTATGTTAATTCGAAAGACTCAGTACGCCCGCACTTGGCCAGCGTTGTTGACTGTGGCTGTTAAACAGGACTGAATACAATAATATGTTTATTCAATCCTTTTTCACGTTCCAAGTGACGAGAATTAGGCATAGGTTACGTGTGCATTGGTTGATTTCACTGGTCTTGTGAAAATTAAAAAAGTAACGTTTAAGTTACGCATGTATGCGTGATAATTCAAATATTAGGCAAAATAATTCAGCATTAAGTATATATATGTAGCTATTGAGAGTAATTGTGCAAATTAAGTTAATACTAATAAAAAAAGAAAATAAACAATGACATTTTTTTAGGATTAGAATTGGAAGGTCTTGTTCCACCAACATATGTGAAAGATCTCATAGCTGAATTAGAGCAACAATTAATAACATTCAGAAGGCAAATGGACGAAGCGGACAAACAAATGCAGGCATCTCCCAAACTGCTTACTGAACAAGGTATTTAATAATTATTAATGCTAATCATTTAAAGTAAGTGCAATCTTATTTCTTTTTTCTTTTTCATATTCATAAAAAAAAAAACAATTCCATATTGTAATTTTGATTTTAGCTTAATGTCCAAAACATATTTTTTTCCTCTGTTTTTTTACATAATCCTCATCAGTTGAATTCAAAATGTCACGGTTCTAAGAATAATTGGTAAAAGAACAGTGATGGCATTAATTTTTTTTATAATTAATTTAAGCTTTTTTATCATTTTCAAGGTTTTTTAAGTTTCATCTAAAACTGATTTTAATTTATTTTAGTTACTGAAAAGTCAGGGACCAAAAATCATAATAAATCCGTGAAAAAATCCGAAAAGATAGTTTTATCATAATCCGAAAAGATAATGCTGTATATATTTAAAGCTTTGTGGTGAATTCTGGAGAAGAATAAAATAATTTGATATTTTAACCTTACAATATAGCCAGGATGTTGGATATTGGAATTCTTTAATGGCTTCTCGTGAAACCTTTGGGTTTGAGCTCAACTGATTTATTTTGATCATATATTAGATTCATTTGAAAATCTATTTTTAGGGTCCCATACCTTAAAAGGTAAAAAGGAACACTTATAAGATCATTTCGTTGTCTGTTTGTCTAGAAGGTATCAAGTTGAAATTAATATCAAATATTCAAGTCTGCAATCCCTTGAAGCTGTGAAAAAATCTAACTTCTAATTAAAAGATATGGCCATTTATGCCGCATACTTTGACACTTGCAAGAGAATCATAACTTATGGTTCTTCCCATAGACTTAGAATCATTAAATTTGGCCTGAAGCAATATCTTATACTATAAGACTTATAGCACGAGTAAAGGGGAAAACCCCCAAAAACCGTAAATTCGTGGTTACGTCACATGATTTTTTAGTGATTATGAACTGTTTTTTTTTGGTTTTACAATGATTATTAATTATTATTTATTATTTTTCTTTCAGAATTAACTCTCGGTATACGTCGAATGCATGAATCGTTGGTGGCTCTAGCTGGGAGGCTTCAAGCGTTGCACACACAAGTTGAATCCCAGAAAGAACAATATCTGAATCTTAGAAAATATGTCCTGAAAGATCCCACTAATGTCTTTGAAACGCCATCATGTGAGTTTATTTTTGCTTATGTTTCTATTGGGAACTATTCGTTTTTCTTATTATAGTAAGTATGATTTGTTTAATCTGGAGGTCCTGTGTTTGAATCCTGATATTGGTTTTTTGACAAAGAAATTCTTAATATAGTGAAGTATTTGTGGTTTTACATCCCAAGTGTTTTTCGGATAAGATATAAAAAATGAGTTATTCCATATACACTTATAAATTTGACCCAAATCGATACAGCCGTTTCAGAGATACTCTAAATAAAATGTATTTTTTTTTTAATTTATATATATTAATATATACAAGAAATGCTCATTTAATATTATAACATTGGTTCTACATAATCTATTTTTGTTATTGTTTTTGCTCATACGACGCTCTCAAAAGTGCCCTCAAATAAGTGCACCATTTGAAATAGATTTGTGCTTCTTTCAAATCTCTTTATTGCCTTTCGAATGACAAAATAAAAACGTACGTTGTTTTATTTATAAAAGTACTTTATGTGGTGTGCGTAAATTCGAATTTGTGTTAAGACAATCAGAACTTAGATTTACGCGAATTTTTGACATTTTAAATAAAGCTATGATTGCTGTAAAGCATTCTAACTTTCGATTTGTCCCTAGGGTGCTTCCCCATATAAAATTTCATCCCCATTTTCACACTCTTAAGGGATGATTTTCGGGATAAAAACTATCCTATGTTCTTCCCAGGGTCTCAATCTATCTTCTTACCAAATTTCATCTAAATATGTTCAGTAGTTTCGGAGCTTATTGGGTACAAACAAACAAAAAATCACATCTTTTCTCTTTATAGTATTAGTATAGACAGTTTGACTTAAGGTCACATGTCGACGTCATATTTTGAAGAGATATTTGTTAGGAAATGTGTATCTATCTATGCGACCCTCTATATATATATTAGTATTTTTATATGAAATTCTTTTGGTATTTGGTATTATAACAAATATGTATAACATTCTATTTACAGCTAACGCAAGTTTAGATGAAATGCTACATGATGGAGAAAGGAATAGAAAAAAGGCAAAGTCTTTGAACATGTCGGAAATTAGTACAGGCAGTGCCGTGGTGACTGACCCGAGGGTCGCTTTAGGTAAATAAAATACAAGTTATTATAAACTAAATTAAAATATGGGCGCGAATCCTGAATGTGTTTTTTTGGTGTTAAATATGCTATAAATAATAAAAAAAAAAACATTTTACGCGCGGTTGACGTAAAACGTCTTTGGCAAATATGGCAATTGAATTAAAACAAATCAATAATAAAATAAGGCATATAACAATCATATATTTATAGAATATCATATCCATAAAGAATATAATAATATATATTTGTCAGACATTAACAACGGTAACCATGGCAATATGGCAATGTATTCTATTTCATTCTCTCGCCGGCTTAATCCTATACATTTATATGTTTGTCTCTTTTTAGTGTTGCATTTCCGTTTCATCGAGTCTCAAATCACAATGATTCTAAAGATGTTTTGATGGTTAGGTGTTTAGTTTTTTAAATGACATATAAAGAACATGCAGACTAAATATTTTTTTTTTAATAATTTATATTTACAGTATTTTTGTTTAAATATCTATTTTTTTTAATTATTACAGCTGGTAATATTCAACAATTGGCTGGACCAACCCCGTTCACGTATCTAGCGAGTACCATATCAGCGTTTCCCACTGGCGGCGACACTACTGGTTTGTTTTATTATCTTTTGTTATTTATATATTGTAGGTTTATCTATTTTATTTCCTTTAAATGTTTTTATTTAGTAAAATCTATTTTAGTTGACTGCAGCAAATACAAATGTGGGTTATGTGTTTGACTTGTATGCATGAATATTGTATATATGGTTTGCTTCCCAATACAAATTTTCATCCCCATGTAACATGTTTACACTCTTAAGAGATGATTTCCGGGATAAAAGTATCCTATGTCCTTCCCAGGATCTCAAACTATCTTCTTTCTAAATGTCATGTAAATCGGTGCAGTAGATCCAAACATTACCCCCTACAACGTCATAAACTCACAAAATCACAAATTTGACCTATTTATAATTTTAGTATAGATGTATATGTATGTTTACGGCTGGTCCTATGTTCTTGATGAATTATACGCCTTCATATTTGTCGTGGTAATGCCAATGTCTTAGGGTAGGTATATTGAAAATAAAAAACATAAATAATCAAAATGGCGCCGATTTGAGCAAACATTACTTCTAAGCATTACTTCAAAGATCAAAATTAATTTATTAGAAATTGAAATAGATCAGTTTATTTCATGATAAGAAGGCAAATAATATTTTGAAAAGGTACAATGTTTACCTTTCAGAAACATTTACAAACACACATTAAATTTTATATACAACTGGCGACTTATCTTTGAAAATGAATGGTTCAAAGACAAACATCCAAAGAAAAATTCATCATATTTTTTGCGCCAGCAACTTTTGACTCGGATCAACTCGAATCGAATCAATGGTTTAGGAATGCAGTGAGGACAAACCTACGAACATTCGTTTTATTTCTATTCATTTGAATATTACATAATTCTCCCTGCCCAAAGGTTGCCTGGAAGAGATTGCTCACTTAGCGATAAGGCTATTGTGCTATTTGTTCTTTAATATGTATATGTAAATTTTTGATGTGCAATATTTGATTTGATATAACTATAGCGATCCATGATATTAATAATTAATATATAAATTACGCTACCCAGGATCGAACTGGCAGCCCACGCCACAGCCGAGTCTCAACACAACGAACATTTCCTTCGGCTCGAGCACGCAGAACGACTCCGCCTTCCAGCTGCAGAAGCCGCCCGGGAAGCGCGGCAAGCAATGATATTTGCGGTAATATTCCTTAAGGAATAAATAAATGACTTTTGATGACTTTTAGTGCTCAGTGATACCATTTGTTAGTTGACACCTACAAGCAATTCAATTCAGTTCAATTTTCTTGTTAGTTCAATTCAATTTTCTTGTTAATGCCAGATTACTCCGCCAATGTGAGTTAGAATCGAGTAGAGGAGATTGGTCAAATGAAATACTTTTTATAAGCTGTTAAATTGACATGCTTATTATCTATATGTCAAAATGACATACATTTTTGTTTTGACAGCTCCCCTACAGATTTGATATGGCAATAACAAAATGTGGCGTAACTTACTTGGAAACTCAATTTAATATGTATTGATAACAAAGCAATAAAATGTCTTTTTTGATCTTAAATATTGGTTTTTTGGTCTAAAATTGATTTTTTCTGTGCAGAAAAGTTGTGTCTTGAGTTTATGGGTAATGGTGTTAACTGTCAAATCTGTTAGTGTAAATGCGTTCACGACGGGATTAAAATAATAATTTAAATCAATATTTTTATCTCTTGAGCTATAAGAGATATTTTATATTAATGTAGCAGGCATATCGTATGATTCGTCTTTTTACAAACAGCACCGAGAGTTCTAAACGTATGCAAGTTTATAAAATGCCTAAGGCAAATTGTTAAACGTCGAAGTATCAATCCCAATCGGATTTATATAGCACTAAGCCTTAATTCAAACATTTAGTGAGTAAATGCTTAAACTTATTTTTTTTTTCAAATGGCTAAATTTTAGTTGTTTGTCTTCGGCATTTTACAAACGATCTAGCATGTGTATAATGATAAATTCTACTTCAGAAAGGCACTTCTAGAAACCATTGAATATAGCCATAATTGAATTGAATAGGGAATATGTGTGTGTTTTTTATACAGTAGCTTAAATCGTTATATAAATGTAAAAAAATATCCAGTTCCAAAAAAATATTTAGTATACATTTTTTTAAATAAATTTCATTTTAATAGTGTTGCCAATTTATCGATGCTAAATTGGCAACACTAGCTCTGTTATCATATACTCTGACGTCATATTCGGTCTGACTAATGGCGTTGCGTTTCAACTACTTTGAATTTTCCACCTATGTTTGTACTTTTTAATAATTATTATTTTCTTAAAAAGAAATTATATTAAAAAATATATTTTATCATTATTTAAAGCACATTCCCTATTATAATATTATAATGAAATATACGATATGCGTCCAACATTACTAGACTTTTCCATATTTCTATCTATTAGTATGTAAAACAATGTAAAGGTAAATTTTAAGATTATTAATTTTTGCCTTTGGACTATAAAAATAAAGTTAATCTATATTAGAAATTAATTATAGATATAATTGCTTAGGATATATTTATAGAAAAACGTATATATGTTTATATATTATAAAAATTAATATATGTATATATAATATGTATGTATGTATGAGTTGTACATTGAATATTTTTATGTTTGAAATTATAATTATGGTTAAAAAGTAAAAAAAAAATGAGAATAGAGGGTTTTTAGAGTTTTGTAGTAATAAAGTAAAAGCGAAATCTTTATTATTTTGTCGTGTTCGTCTGTCCGTATGTCAAAGTAATTTTATGACCTATTTTAGGGCTATATTTGATGAAATTTGATATGTTGTATGTATAGGTATCTCATTTGAACCGTTAGACAATTCCTTACATAAATTAAGAAAACCAATAAATAGGGGTGGCACTCCATACATGTATTATATACATGTCGTACTGCCTCGGTGGTGTAGTGTCGGAGGTGGCTAGCATGTACGGCTGCATACTCGGAGGTCCTGGGTTCGAGTCCCGGGTCGGGCCAAGTTTAGTTATTGAGTCTTTCTGTATAGTAAGTCTCAGTAACAGCCCGGAGTTGGGAAGTTGGCGGTGTTTCACCCCCGAGCCTCGGAGAGCACGTAAAGCCGTCGGTCCTGCGCCGACACTCTCACTGGTCGTGTCGAGTGGTCGTCCTACCAGAGTATGAGAGTGACAGGAATAGAGAGTGCACTTGTGTCTGCGCGTACACTTGAGCACTATAATATCTCCTGCGCAGTTGACTATTCTCATTGAGATTGGCCGCCGTGGCCGGAATCGGTCAGGAGAACATCACCAACCATCATATACATGTATGTAGTGCTACTACTATGTTATTGATTCATCTTAAAGTGAATATCTCAATGTAACATTTTTGATGTGGTTCTAATAGTGTAAATGAAATATAGTTAAGTGATTCAAAAATGACAACAAAACATAGGTAAAACTTAGATATACTATGTAGCTTATATATAAAAATAATTAATAAGTAGTGAAAAATAACTTACTGCTATATTTTTTATACAAGCCTTACTAAATATTTAGAGTTACATACATGTTCTCTTAAAACTGTCACCAATTGTGTTTATGTAATTATTCTAGTTGAAATAAATATACAACAATGTAAATTGAACCTTAAATGCAATGCTTAAATTTGTTTTCACAAAAACAAATAGATTCAAAGCGCGCTCAAATGTTCAAATGAGCGCTCATTCGGCGAGAACATTTTTTGTCGCTGCTTGTGTGTCTAGTACTGTTTTGATTGATGATTACAAAAGTTATATAGTGATTCACTTTTCTAGAGAGTAGTGTAAATTGTAAAGTGTACATAAAATATCTGGCAAATAAGCATTTTTTTCATAGTAGTAATAAGACACAAGAAATCTATACTGATATTATAATTGTGAAAGTGTTTGTACTTTTTTACTTCGAAACAGAGTGACGGATATCCCTCTTCATCAACTTCACTTTTAGCGACTGTCAATCACTAAGTACAGATGGATTTTGCTCAGATTCTTCAGGTTGTGAAAAATGGTTTCTGCATCAGAAATATCCGAACCAGCGGCTACTATTTTATCTGCGGTGCATTTGAGATAGCCACCAATGCCATCGGCAGCCCCTTAGCCGTGGCCGGCTTCAAAAACATTCCATGTGACGCGAATGAACTTGTCTTTGAATAGTTTGGTGCATATGAAATAAAAAAATAACTTCTGTCGGTACTGTGTAGCAGGACTATCGGAAACGAAATGAACTGTAGTTATATGTGGATAGCCAGTTTTTATGGCGTTAATGACTGGGTGAAGGTGCGCCCAAATAGAGACAGGGTTGTGGGAGTTATTTCCAGAAATGCTACAAAATAAATTGTCATTGGTTTATCTGCCGTGATATATCTATAATGCCGTTATCTGCCAAAACCTTGTTTTGAGTAACATGCTAAAAACGCGGGAAAAATTTGAAACCGTTGTAACTTATCAAAGACAATACCTATTTCAGACTTTGAGGTACCAAAAAACAGATCAAGTAAAATACTTTCGAATGATTCTCCTGTCATATTGTAAATATAATTCAATTTTATGATAAAACGTTTTTTGCGTTTTAGGTTATCATCAGTGTTGCCAAAATCGAATGGATCATTGACTAAGATGCCGCTACGTGTAGCGTAACGGCATTTTAGTGTTTCTATTTCATTCAAAAGTATTGTCTGCTAAAACGCTAAAAAAAAACATCTTCATGAATAACTAGAACGTCGTTATAGCACGTAACGTTAATTTAGCTTAACATTAGGTTATACTTATGGAACTGACTCTGTTAGACTTTAGTGCCGTTAATGGCGCTTTACGTCCTTTAAGTCAGCTAACCTATAAATGTATTTATATTTGAGGAAAAAACTTGATTCATTGCTACGCTTAAATGCGGTTAAACTAAAAACCTTATCGTTTAACGGCATTATAGTCCAACAGTTATACAAAATACTGGAACATGATACTGAACAAACTGAGGTTAAAATTATAATTAAAGACAATTTTTTAATTGAAACCATTATTTAATCAATCACAGTCAATATTTATTTATATTTTTTAAGTTAAGCAAGTATCCTTTTTTCTTAAACTTAGGTTTTAATATAGGCTTTGACAAATCTTCACTTAAAACTAGATTTCTTATTTCTTTCCCAATACTAATATCACATCAATAAATAATCAATTACTTATTAACAATTTACTACTTGTACTTTCTAATTAAATCTTTGTCTTTGTGTGCTTACATATTAATTTAAAACAATTTTAACTAAATCTAATTTACTTACGAGATCACTTTAATGAAAATCTGAGATAGTAAAAAATCACAACCGACTCGATAAACCTCTAATTTTTTACCTACATTTATGTAAATCTTCGTGATACATTTGTTACATCTCAAAAAACTTGGTATCAAAAATCTTAAAATCACAGTAACTTTACCAAACATCTTAAAACAATATAACAATGTTCAATCAAAATAACATTATTACCTATAATAGTTAAAATATTGAATCAGTCTCAAGAAACTCTGACGAGCCTGTTATCAGAACTTGTACCGGAATGTTCATTTTCTTTTGTTGGTAAGTTTTTCCAGAATAACAATTTGTGAGGGGGCATTTGCTCGATAGTTTTTCAAGTATATCTGCTTTTCTATTAGGTTCGACACATTTCGGTTCAGTCCTGAATTCAAATACCATTATATGAGGGTTCTTCAAATATTTATCATTCATGAAACGGAGAGAAGTATACATTGTATAATCGAAATTGTTCTTATACATGAGATCATAACTTTTACGTTTGAAACATACCTCAACCATATTTTTTAAATAAGCCCTTTGGTTGGATGTTTGGATTCTCCTTTGTAACACATAATTTGGTATATCAAAAAGTTTTCTGGCAACATAGACTGTACGATTACTTTTGACTTATTAATGGAAGACACACACTCTTCAAAATCAGAGAAATCGTAAATTTTTCCCTTTTTCTTCATGGCCAACTCTACTTGATGGTGCACTTGATCACTGCTCATGAAAGTGTGACCGGGTTCAAAGTAATACAGAGTTATTTTTTCTGTAGCAATGGCTTCACTGTTAATCATTTGAATGAGCATCGAATATAAAAGTCAATTCTTGTTTTGCGAGCTGCAATTATCGAGCCAGATGTGTACTTTCTCAACATCTCTATTACGCAAGAGAAAATGATAAAAGGCAGACATTATATCTTCCTGTTTTCGGCCCGCAATGCCATCATGCCAGATAACTGTGAGGGGTTTACACTCTGTGGTAATCTTGCCAAGTGGTGCAAAAGTTTGATTGTAGGCTGTAAGGCGCAGAGAGAAAATTGCCGCTTTAAACATCTCCAATCTGGGCAACATGATCACTTTTTCGAGGTCAGCGCTATAGAATACCTGTGAATTATTTTGTGGTTCTTCTTTATGTGCTGTGTAAAGCTCTCGTGCCTTTGTGTACCTTTGGTGATGTTTATCCCAGTCCACGCAAACTGTACACTCTTCAAGTATCTGGATAGTGGCATCATGTGATGTTTCCTTTTTGTGAAAATTATAAGCCTCGCATATTTCACACTCTTCATTGCCAAGAGCAGTGAATGATATGTTCATTTTTTTAACGTGTGATCTATATAAGCAGTATGAAATATTTTTACTGGGGTACGTCTCACAAAAATGTTTATGCATTTGAGTTATGTTTATATCACTAGGTAGGTATCGTCGCAAAAGTGCATGTTCACGCCTATAGTGTGGTTCCAACGGGTTAAACGATTCAACGTGTTGATGCAGTAAATCGCGATCAAATACTGGTGTTTTTTGGTGTTTACCACGTTTATCTGTTGCAGGATCACTAAAAGTTCTATGTAGGATCCTGTCATTAATTTTCAAATATCCTAGAGTAGTGAGGAAAAATATTTTACACACCTCTTTTTTGGTACCATCTTGTTTTTTAAATATAAAATTTCCTTTTGGTTTCCTTTTTGGTTGGCTTGTAATTTTTCTTTTTGGAACTGCTACATAAGTGTGTGCTTCAACAAATGCGTGTTGTTCCTGCCATGACATATCCCAATAAGCTTTATTAATTGCTTCTCTATCTTCTTGGGTCAACAGAGTCATACATTTCTTGAGACATTTTTCATTGCACCCACTATGTTCGCTTTTTTTTTATTTTTGGCTTCCGATTTCCTCTGTTGTAAGGGGGTGTCATATTTCTTTCGTTTGCGTGGTGGTTGTGGCATCTCAGGTAATGTGGAACAATAATTGCCATCAACGGTATTACTACGTTTGCGGAGGAATGGCCGTTCGGGCGTAGTTTTCTCACAACAAATAGCACCAATTGAGTCTCTACGTCTACGCTCCAAAGTTTGTATTTTGTTATTCATAGGAGTTAAATTCTTCGTGACATCAGTTAACAATCTTGTTTGCAGCCTGTACTTCTTTTTTTTTCCTTTCAGACACTTCAGGTCTTTCTGGGGAATCAGATGGAAAGTAATCTTTATCAAGAACAGAGTCGTCGGAATCAAAATCATGTGGACTATTTTCATACATTTCTTTTGTATTCGACTGGAATTCTACCTCAAGCGGAGAATCCTCCAGTGGCATTGATTCATTGCATGTTAAATCTACTTTTACGGGCGTCTTGGCGACATCTTTTGTAATAGTTTGATGGACTCTAGTTTCGTTGGATAGAGCCTGTTTTAATTTACTTGTATCTAAACTTAACAAATGGTGCGAGTTGTATGTAGTTTGTGTCTCACAGAATGTGTCAAAAATGCTGGCTGTCATTGAATAAGGCCTCATATATATACTGTTCATAACATGGTCAGTCGAACCCGGCTTAGGTTTACTATTATTTTTTGTCTTTAAGTTTTGGTTCGGCAATAGAGTAGCAGGTTTTTCCTTAACCATATTTAGAATAGTTTGGGCTCTTTTCGAAATAGCAGAGATTCTGTAACAAAAGAAACAATACTATGTAACTATGTATATAAATATAGTACACAAAATTACTATTTATACACCCTATTTACTGGCAAAAAAGCTATTTTGTATTTGTATTTAAATAAAAATAAGTTAAGACTGATAGGCAGGTTTAACAAAAATCAAAGAAGAATACACCGTTTTAATGTATGTCGAAGTCATAGATACCTTTTGGTTATTTGAAAGTTGAAAAATTTGATTAGTTCATTCACGTTTCATTCCAGGCGGCCGAGTCTCAACTAATCGTGCACGTGTATATTATGAACACAAAATTATTGCAAGATAAATTAGGTAAAACACTAACTTACCCAAAGTGACTATCCGCCATCGTTGCGAAATTGGCGGGAACAGTCACGGAGCGACACGCGTCTTTCGCCCACAAGCCCCTGCGACGCACTAAGTACTAAGTTCACCCTCCACCTCTTACCGCGGAACAGGCTCATAGCACCCGCGCGAGAGCAGTTAACGGCATTATTGTGTATTTGTTTGAGATAACGACACTTTAGTCTAACTATGACGGACAAATAATTATAGTTTAATTTTGGAAGTGTCACTTTCTCCTCTGAGTTTTTATTAATATGCAGCAGTGAATGATGACGTTTTTTACAAACTCTGCATGTAGTAGCCTTTTTACAATCATATACTGTGTGATTACTACCGGTTAAAGCATATCCGATTCTTCATTACAAATTCACGTCTACTCTCTATGGGTCGTTTAACGAATTTTTTACAAAAGCAAAGTTTATGGCCCTCTGAACAATATTCACAACGCATACTTGGTGAATTTGTGCTTATCATTACTTTGGGAGTATTAGTATATTGATGGTTACTTTTGTTTCCTTGATATACCGTAGCATTTTTAAAATCGAGACATTCTAACGCACGAAAACGATTTTCGATAAAAACTTTAAATTGATCAAACGTTGGCAAATCGTTATTAGAATCATTATTACAAACACTCAACTCCCATTGCTTACGCGTTTCGCTATCTAATTTAAGTGTAATAACGTGTATGATAATAACGTCCCATGTAGTTACATCAATCTTTAAATTTCTTAATGCATTTAAACAATCGCAGGTACTATCAATAAGCTCTTTCAAGGACGAAGCTGATTCTACATTTATACGTTTTTGACCAAACAATCTTTTTAAGATACAATTCGTTAAATATTTCTAATTACTATAACGCTTTTCCAATTGAGCCCAACATTCATTATAATTAGCCTCCGTAATAGGAGTGTGGCGAATCAATTGTTCAGCTTCACCTGAAAGATGGCTCTATAGATAATGAAGCTTTTGTACATTATCTAAAGAATCATTTTTATGAACTAATGATGTGAATAGATCATGAAAAGTAGTCCATTCTCCATATTTACCAGAAAATGTAGGAATGGAAATTTTTGGCAATTTTACTAAAGAATTAAAAGTCTTGTCTGTACCAGAACAAGACTTATCACCTTGCTGTACAGATCCCTTACCTACTTGAATTTTATTTAGAGTTGTTTTCATTTAGCTTTTATATGTTATATAAGTATCTTCAACCAAATCGTAAATATCGATAACATTCTGACCTATTTCTTCTAGTTTAAATCTTTCATATAATTTAGTGTTAGTATCTTTAAAAATTGTCCAGTCTTTTTCTAACAATTCTTGTCTCGTTTCTATATATTCAACCGTTAATTTATCCTTGCTACATTTTTTTAGTTATTAAACCTTTAGTTATGACCGTTTGCGAATCTTTTAGTACATTTATTAAACCTTACATTTTATATTAAGTAATAGTTAACAAAATTAAATATTTTACAATTTTTAAATCAATAATATAACACAGCTTTGAAGTAAACTATACAATTTTATTAAATGTGTAATAATCAACTTGTTAAAAACAAACTCACAATTTGATCCTAGAAATTCTAAGTCCCAAACTAACTCTCAAACTTTTACAAGTGTTTTGTACACTTTATATAAATTTAAAAATCGGGCATAGGTTCCCCGTTCCCCCGTTTTTTTCAAATTATTCTAAGTCCTTAACTAACATGCACAATTTTACTAAATCTATAAACTAAGCAAATTAAATTTAAAGTTTAAAAAAGTTCTTAAATTTTACAAGTCCAAATGTTTTCCATAAATATTTTCTAAGTTGAAATCTCCTTAGAAATAAAGTTCAAATTTGCTTGAAGATTTTGCTTTGCAAATATTCGCTGACACAAATAATATAAATGTACTCACGAAACTGCACTTCACACAAACACTATGTATGTTGATCTGCTATTAGCGCCTCCAGTGGCGATCTGTGAGTTGTCCTTTTCTGCCGCTGCCTGTGCCGCCCACCACTGCCAGCTGCTCGTTCACACTGACACTCTTACACCGCTGCTGCGGTATCGTGTACCCTATGCAGCGATCCACTGCGTTACACCGAAGACAAAAATGCCCACTTATCCGTATCGACGGACCAATGTTTAATCAGTTTAGTTGGTAGCCTTGTACTAAGGTGAACTTTATGATGATAAATAAAACTACCAAAACTAATGTACTGCTGGTAAGATAGGCTTTTATTCAACTTCGAAAAGAAGGGCGGGCCTTTAACAGGGGATTTATTATTTATTTATAATTTAACATATACTTTTAGAGAGAACCAAACCATAGCGCGATTTAGACTACACTTAACGCCATCTAGTATAACAAAAGTAATTTAAAAATGTGTAATATAATTTTAGCAATCAGAAGGGAAAAAAAAAAGAATACTTCAAACAATCTAAAGGTACTTTATTTCAGAATAGACTTAATTTTAATAACATTTTAATTAGTGATCAAAATTCGAGCAATCACATACAACCGTTAATATTCAAAATAAGAAGCACATAAATAAAACCACTATAGAACAAAATATGGAACGAACTTACTGCGAGGTAGCGTGGGCACCGACACTATTACTGTCTGACGACTGAGCAGCAAATGACCTGTACTATAGCGAGTGCTCGTTTTTATACTAATTGGTGGGTACCACCACTACCAACAATAAGTTTGTCTCACACGGCCACTCCTGAACGTGCGCCGTCCTCGGCGGCACCTGGGACCTCTTCATCGGAAGCAACAGGAGAGGTGGCGACCGTTTGACCGCCGTTTTTGTTTGTTTCGGTCCCGTCCGTACTCAAAACATTAGTGGGACCAGCATAGTCGTAGAGCACACCGTCAGGGTTTTCGTCATTGCAGCCTGTATGGGGAACAAGTGGTTAGTTATACGTGGCTAAATCCACCTGCGCCTATCCTATCATTCATCACGCATACAAGGCCCTCATACAAACATACACACTTTCACAATCCACGTTAAATCACTTTGATTTTAGAAGTATGCATACATCTTCACACATCAAATCTCACTCACACTCATATTTGAACTTGTACAAGTTCACATGTTAAAACGTATCAAACACCTGACGCGTGTTCAGAGAATACGACTTCCGGGATAACACCCGATGCGCATACATAGTACGCGTCTTCCGGGACAACACCCGATGCGCATACATAGTACGCGTCTTCCGGGACAACACCCGATGCGCATACATAGTACGCGTCTTCCGGGACAACACCCGATGCGCATGCACAGTATGCGTCTTCCAAAGCCAGGCACTTCACGAGCCTAGCTTTGATAACATCTGGGCTGCACCAACCACCCGTTCTGACCAGTAAGGCAAGCACCTGCCTCACGCTCGTACGCACGCGCATACAACATTCGTACTACTAGAACATAAAAAAAATATCACAACGGTTTGGTTGAAACTTACTTCAAAAAAATGCAGCGCAACTCTCAGGACACCACTCGCCTTTCCAGGGCACCATATACTGAGCTGCGGCCTGAGTTGTCTTGCCTCTAGCTCCACTTAACAATTTTAACTCGTAACGGTCATTTGGTAACACTTTAGTTACACGGTATGGACCCCTCATGCCCGAGTCAAGCTTCCCTGTGGACTGAGAACACTTTATTACAAACACTTGTTCGTTAACCTGGAAAATTCTTGGCTGGTGTCTTTGACGATTTACTCGAACATCTTGGGCGGCTTGATTCTTGTCAAGAGATTCTTTGACAGATCTCCTGCTGAGTTCCCTCATGGCTTCTCGATTTGGACTGGAGTGTTCGACGGCAACGTCACGGATCAGCGCACGGATCACAGGAGTGGTCGCGTTGGTACCAATTAACAGGTACAAAGCCGAGTACTGAGTGGTTTTTTGCTTCGTGATATTTAAAGTTAATTGAATTTTACAAAGACTATCTGACCATGTGTTATTTTTATTACTACTCTCGACTCGAACCATATTAAGGATGGTTCTCACATAACGCTCTACTTGCCCATTTGAGTGATGCATCTCTGGCGTTATGTAGTGGATTTCGCAACCCATTTCAGTTACCCAACTGGTAAAAGTGGACGCCTCAAACATGCGACCACGGTCACAGACTATCAGTTTGGGTGTCCCAAATAAAGATATAGCACTATCGAAAACTCGTTTCAATTCGCTTGCATCTTGTCTGTATATAGGATAGAGTATAGTTCGTTTCAACGAATAGTTCCTATGGCGTTATGTTGGCAGCGATGTTTTCCAGTGCTGTCACATTATCTATAATAACCCACCTCAAAGTAAGGGTAATTTCAAGTATGTTTTTTTAGTTAGATTCTTATATATTTACAAATTATTCGATTTCTGTTTTCTAATGTTTACGCGAATTTCACTCATTATAATAAAACAACTTTTACGCCGCTACTTTACTATGGCGATAAAATCAGTAAAAGTTGTTTCATTATAAATTATTCAATTATCATTTTAAAAATCAGAAAAGTAAAAAAAGCATAAATTATTTAATATTTTTTATTATAATTGTGATCAATCAAAAAATGCTCATCCAACGGACTTATTCCCGAGAGATCGTCGTCAACTTCATCTTCCTCATCATCCTCGTCATCAGAAGTGTCGCTATCGTCTCCCACTTCAATTATGAACCTCTCCATCTCGCTATCAATAACTGGGCCATCGGCGTAATATTTTTCTTCCACTTTTTTCACATGCTCACATTCTTTTCTCCATTCTTCTTCGGTGATCGTTGCAAAGGCTTCTTCTGTGATTTGGACGATTTTATTTGCTTCTTGACCTATGTTTTTTTCAGCAACTCGTCTTTTTACGACACTCCATATCAGCTCTATTGGGTTTAAATCACAGTGGTAAGGTGGAAGCCTTACCACTTTATGTCCATGCGCTTCCAACATTATATCGGCTTCATAAACGGGCGGCTGTTTGTGCTCTTTTATTATTTGAAATAGCTGGGCTTTTACCATA